AAAAGTGCCGCTGAGAGTGCAAAGCCACTTAGCGCACGTGCGCGTACGTTCGAGTGGTTTTTAGCTCATTCTCCAGAGATTGCGAATTCCGAGAAATGCTCAATTTTTTTTTAAATTATGCAATATCACGCAGTGTCAGTCAGTATTTGGAGCCTTGGTTCGCGAGACGAGACTAGATGGTCAGAAATTGGAAACAAGCGGCAGGATTTGTTAAAGGAAAAATAAGAGCGAGATAAACTCAACTGGTTACGTTTCGCGTGCGACGGCGCTCAATAAAGGACGCAATTGCAGACGAGATGTCTAGAGCATCCCGCGGATCGAAGAGGTTCGATGAGTACGCGCGCGGCACTAAAGCTCGTTCTGTCGCGAGCGCTAAAGATACCAATAGAGTCTGTCTGAGCAACACGCGGCATCATAAGAGTTTTCGCGGAGGCATCGTAAAGCACGCCGACTATTGACTGTTTCCTTCAGCGGCTTTATTCGTGCGCCGCCGCGGCATATTACGCGTCGACTTAATGACGCGCATTTATGCTCCCTCCGTGTACTATAAGCCTCCTATGCGTACTCTCTGTAAATAATATTAGAATCGCGAGAGAAGCCGCCCGCGCAACCAGCATGCAATCGTCCATGTAACAATGAACCTCTGTGAGCGCGCGTGTGGGAGGATAAAGGGCTCCCTGGCACGTCTATACACGCGTTTTGTTTGTTGTTTTGTGGGTGGATTTGCGCACGATTACGAAGGTATTATGTCGAGAGTTGAGAGAGGCGCAGTTGTAATTGAAGAAGATCTCTTTCTATGTCTCTGCTACTATACGGCTAAGCATTGTTTGTAGGTCAAGCTTCCCAGTTGCAGCTGGTTACAAGAAGAAATCATTGAAATTCTCCACACTTCTTTCCTGCTGGAGCTGTGTTTCTATAATTCTATTGTATGCGGATTTTTCGGACTTTTTCGTGAGCACGCCGAGCTTTTATTGAAAAACACGACCATAGAAGTACACGCAGAGCATTCAAATTTCCATGCTGATTGTATTCAAATGGCCGACAGTAAAAATCTCTCTCATCTTTGTTTTTCGACTTAATGGCGCAGCTATCACTTTCGCAATGGGGAACTGAGCTCGATAAACGCTTGGCGCGCGATCTGCAATTGTTTTTTTGATTGGCAAACAGCGGATTGACTCCGCGCATACGAGGGCTCAAGGATGAAGAAACGGAGTCGCTCAATTTTCTGCTATTCCAGAGTGGCAATCAAATTGAAGTCGACGAGCGGCGAGAAAGCCATGTTTGGGTAGAAACCTATTTCCTTGCCGCGCACTCGGCGCCCGTTATGATTTCGAGAAAATAATGAAACGATCATGCCGACAAAGGAGCTGCCTAGAAAACTCTTAGTAGCTCGCATAAAATACTACCTTCGCGTATATCTATCGGCGTAGAACACTATTATGCTTTCAGCTCTCGATTCTGACCCGATGACATTAATTAGTTTCCGTGCGTGGGCATACACGTAACATGAAATGTTTTTTTCGGTCAATCAACGTATTCTGAAAAAATGCGTCGAGAATACCAATCGAGAGATAAAAATGAACGTTGCGCGACATGATCTTTCGAATTTTAGAAAGTACATACCGGAAGCTCATTATTAATATCGTTTTATGTCCACCTGACAGCGAAGAAAAAACATCCGTACAAGGACTACATCTACAATTAAACGACAAAAATAAACAAGTAAATTTTATTACATAAAAATGTATTTTATGTGTCTGCATACTTTGCATAGTTAATCCAGTAATTCAATCAATTTCACAAGCTCGCACGGACGCGTGCGCAAAGGTCATTTATATAATAACATTAATTGGTTTCTCATTACGATCCGCTCGCACGTTTCATTATCGACTTTACACGCGCTCTGTGTTTCTCTTTCTCGCTTTCGTGTATTCGTGTGTGCGCTTGCGCGAGTGCAAATATTAGTGGTACATTCGATAAGCTTCAATGAAGTTACGAGCGGACAAACGAGAAACAAGAGTGCAATCACAAGCCGTGCTGGTTGGGTGAAGTTATTTTTATTTGTTTCAAAATAACAGCAACAATGACGAAAGATCGCGCTGCAATAGAAATACACTGTCACGCCGATAAATTAACAAGCAAAGCTAAAGGGAATGTTGCGCGGTTATTGATTAAAATCAACGTTGAAAAGTTTCGCGTCGTAAAATATCGCACGCGCGCGTTTATTATTCGACAGGACAGCTGCAATTATGTTAGGCTCATGATAAACGTGGAAATGGCGCCCAACCGAGAGCAAGTCAACGGCCTCTTCAGCTATTAAATCGAATTTTTCCGAAGAAAAAACAAAAAATCGAGTAGTTTATCACGCCTGTATTGAAAAAAAGTGGACGCGCGTTATTTACTACAAAAGTATGCGCGCGTGCGGTAAAAACAAAAACGGCACGGGTTGATAGAGGTCGGTGACGCGTAAGGGAAAGGCAACGTAATAACACACGAGCGAGAAGAGCCCTTTTACGCGATACCATCTGGCTCGTCGTCACCAGACGAAGAGAGAAGCAGCGGTTTATTGTTGAATTTATTGCGCGATGGTTTTTGATGATTTCGCCTGTACAGCAGTTTCGGATCCAATTTGTACAGATAAACACACGCACACACATACGCACACACACACAGACACATATCTGCTGCTCGTTCGCCTTGTAATTTTCGATGACTGAACATCCCCAGTACGTGATATATACGAGATAAGAAATCTCGACGTTTTTGCGTACCGAATGTTTCCGATCCAAACTTTATCCATCAGTCTCGCGCCATGAGCAGCTAAAAATAAAAAAAAAATAATTCAAAAATCTACCTTCTAATAGTTTTTTCCGATATACACTTCTTAAAATGTACCGTTACCGAGACATGTGAACTTCAGTAAGAATAAACTCATACGCGTCTGAATCGCATTAATAAATCATCTCCGAAAAATCTCTCTCCACGAGGGACGCGTGTGTTGTTGCACTTAGCGCGTATCGCGCTCTTGTGCTCAAGAGGGAGAGAAAAAAAGGCCCGCGTGCGTGTGTATATGTACATTCGCGATAATGGGTTTTTGACCCTGCAGACATTTTGTAATGATTCGCGCGGTGGAACGATTGCCCGAAGAACGCTCGCAATAATTATTACTTTTTTGGCATTCCCAAGCTGTCTCTTCGTGTTTCGCGGCTGTCAAAGCTTTCAGGGTACTTAACATGGCTGACCGATGAGCAGCCCCTTCGCGAGTGTTGATTTAGTGGCTCCTTATTTCTTGCCCGGAAACAGTTTCGACCGTAATCTTTCGGAGTTAACACTCAATAAAAAAGCAATCAACCGTTTCTCTTTTTTTTTCAGGGTCACATGGTCATAATGAGAAATTTCGAAGTATATGCATATGACGTTTTCATGTGCAGGCAGCCTGCGCGCGGAGTGGAAAGGAACAAGCAGGAACCAAAACCGGTACATGCGCGCTGTGATTTTTTACGTAAATGTTAACGATGATTTTACAACTGTTATTTATGATATTACCACGCTTATGAAGTCGTAGCATTATATTCCATGAAACAATGTCGATCGTGAAAGTATAAATATTTGCTACAGCGTGTGTTGCTCTCAGTCGCTGAATGTCAAGCGACATTTTTATCCGTAAATCATTTATGACCATTATCCAACGCGCATATGAATTCGAATTGGCGAAAAATTGACACAATGTGCAAGAGGGCAAAGAGAGACGTTAAATACTCAGGTGCGATAAACCTTTGACACAAAGCGAGGATCGCCAGAGATTTTTAAGCCTACTTATGCTCGCACGACGGGTGCTCTCTCTCTCTCTCTCTCTCTCTCTCTCTCTCTCTCTCTTTCTTTCTCTCGATAAATGTATGCGAGGCTGCCCAACAAATCACTCGGCACCCTGCGATAAATCCCAAAAGGACAAAGACAACCAGTTAAAAAGCGCCTACGCTGATATCAACCGCCACACGAGCTTTCTCTCTCTTCTCGTTCATTGCCATGTTATTTATTGGATGCGCCCTATATAGTCGTCGGAAAAATCAGCGAAAGACTTGCGCGCGTGGTTTACCAAATTTAATTACCCCGCGCGAGCTTTATAAAGTGCACGCACTAATTGGCCGTCGCCGCTTGTATGCGATTCGTCGGATTTCGCCGTTTGCATAGACGTCACTGGGCGGCGAATATCGTTAGCGCCAGAGAACGACAACGTCACGTAACATCGGAAGTCTCGGACATCAATTTGGACGAAAAATACCGAACGCCACCTCAAATGTTGACTCGATGATGCAATTATTAGAGATACATGCTTGCTACTTTGCTTTTCTTCTTTCTTTTTTCTAGATCAGCTTATTGGTATGGAATGTGCGGCTGTGATTTTTCGCTCAGTAACTAGGAAATCAGTAGTATGCTGTTTCGGCACTTTGAAATACACCGCCTCTTTTTTGTTTCTTATACCAACATTTTTTTCTTTGATAATTTCTACTTCCTGGCTACTTTTCCCGCGTTCATAAATACGGGAAAATGAAAAGGAGGATTAAAATTTCTTTTTTTTTACAGGAGTTGGGATTTCCTGTAAACTATCTCACTACAAATTTCTTGCAATTTATATCTCGTGACAATTGAATTATTCAACTCGCGGTGTCTTACAATGATATTCGCTCGAAGAAAGAGGCATTTTCACAAAGACTTATAAAATTGCTTGTATGAAATTTTTGAAATTTCTTTCATCTTTTACGAGAATGATAGTAATCAAGAACTGACAAATAAAGCGTTTATTATCGATAAATTTTATAACAATTCATAAATTTGTAGTATTTAATAGTCCATAAATCTTAGGTACAAAACAGTTTGGAAATCTCCAGCAAGAACAAGCTGATTCATTCTCCGCAATAAAAACGAAATTCACAAAACGCTAATCAATCATTTATTCTTTGCTCACAACTCGCCCTTAAAAAATAAGTCGTAATGGTAGCAAGAAAAGTGAAGTGGCCGTACGCGTTCTCAGCATCATTAAACTCGTGCAATCAACAAATACTGGCGTCCCCAGCGAACGATAAAGATCCCCAGTCGGAGATCGAGATCGCGCGTGTGGCCGATTTCCCATACACCACGAGTTCCCTTATCAATCGTAGTGTTGCAGGTGCAATGAAAAAAAGAAGAAAAAAAAAATACGAACGCGGCGTGTCCGTCGACCGCAAAACTCTCCGATGGCTCCCCTACTCATTTTCTTTCTCCTCCATCCGCGTATAGCGCTGCCACTCCCTCGGGGGACCAGCAGCAGCCGCGTGCGCGCCTCGCTGCTTTGCGCTTAGGCTTGCCAGTTGCCGATCGTCGTCGGCCGGCGCCGCTTGTTGCTCCACGCTCGTCTTGATTATTATATCTCTTCCATCGGGCAGTGCCGGTTACCTCTTTATTTTGCGCTCAACTTTTTTTTGTGACTGTGAGTTGGAAGGTTTAGATCCTGGATTCGTAAGAACGAGCCTGTGGAAAGGTAGGCTTTTCTTGATTTTTCTTAAAGCGCATTTTTTCAATGGGAAGTGCACTCGATTAATTTTTTGCCGTGAGTGAAATTCAACAGTGACAAAATTGTTCCAATTTATTCAAACAAACGCGAGCAACGTAACTTGTCGCCTGATGGCGCACGCTTCTGACAGAACGATAATTTATTATTAAAAAAAAAATAAGTGAGAGAAGCAAAGTGTCACGGACCTGATGCTATAGCCTTGGATATCGTACGTTGGAAATTTGCATGAAAACGCCGGCATATCGAATAGTCGTCGCATCATCTCTATGAGGCAAAGAATCGCCGAATTATACTCGTGATAGTGGCATAAGAAGTCAGGAATAGATAAGCGCTACTTGGCGTATACGCATTTCTTTTCACTAATGCTTGCAAGTATTTTTGGGCGACTTAACGTGTCAGCGCTTATGTCGCGAGACACTTTCCGCCCCGCACGCGCTTTGCGTTTACATGTGTGTGTGTGTGTGTATGTGTATGTGTGTGTGCGCGCGCGCGCGCGCGTGTGTATTCATACACGTAGGTTGTTGGATTTTTCATGTCGAGGTCACTCGAGACCGATTTCGACCGATCGACTGAACAATCGAGTTGTTTTAATGAGGTACATGTGTCGCGAAAGTGGCACTTGAAAAATAGGCTTTTCTTACATGCTCTACCTCTCTACCTCTCTATATGCACACTCGCGAAAGTTGCTACATTGATAAATCGTCGATTAGGAATTTTTTTCTTTTTTATTTTTACGAAAATCAAACTAATCGTTTTCTTTTTTTTTTAATATTAATTTCAAAGTGAACGTGGAAGAATAATTTTCGACAAAAAATGCTGGGCAGTGAGATGTTTGCATGCACAATAAATCAATAAGACATCAATTCAATCAAATGAAAAAATTAATAATAAGACCAATCGAGAGTGGCGCGAAGAAATAGCCGTGGATAAAAAGAAACGAGCCGCAGCCGTGTGCGTGCGGATAAAAAGATGGAGAATAGATCGCGTCAATATCGAAGCGATGAATTTAAGAAATGCGGCACGCGCGGCGCGATAAAATAAAAGCATCGCGATGGCAATTAGAGCGCGCGCTCTGGATAATGCGACATTTTCCGCGTTTCTCTTATTATTCCTCTCTGTCGTTTTTCGCGCGCGCAAGCGAATTCTTCGCTCAAGTTTTCAGACACATTAAAAACGAGCACGCCTCGTACACGTACGTGGTCGATCGTCTTTATCGCGAGCGCGGCTTAATCGCTTAATTCAATTGGCGCGAAAGGAGGCTTATTAATTCGCGCGCGCGCATCTCTTGAATTACACGCCAGAAGAGAGTCTCTCGCTTACATACCTGCTCGTTAAGTATCTTGCATTACGAGTTAAAAGGCCGCTTATTAAGGATACCCACTGATTACGGGATACGCCTAGAGTTTCTAGTTGCTTTTATTCGTCGCGCGCACACACACTCGATTTAAACGCTTTGAGATTATTACCCCAAATACTTAACAGCTCGTTTCGCCGACCTTACGTACCGATTAAACAATTTTCTTTTTTTTTCCTGACGCTTCGTTTGTAATGAGAAATATCTACCCCGAGAACGCGCAGGTATGCACACGCGGATCCTCATTTTCCACGTGTCAAGCATAAATACACACCTATCTCTGGCGATCAGAGCTGCGATTTATATTTTTTGACCAATAGTTTTGTTACTTCTGAGAGATACCAAAATTAATTGCGATCCTCCATCAATGGAATTAAATCTAGATAGATCGCGAATTATGTATACCACTATATCTATACGGAATCATTGGCTGAAATTGTTTGAAATTAGCGCTCCGCAGAAGCGATTTGATGTGAAAAAAAAGGGTTATTCAGTAGTACAGGATTAACGTGTATCGGATGGCACTTGATTAATCGCTTCAATTGGACGAGAGACTCGATGTAATCCGTGCGGCGCTCCTTCAAGCCACTGCTCTATTCTAATTCATCCTCGAGGCTCGCAAATGAAACAATCCCCTTGCTTCATACGTACAATTTACATACACGGAAGTGCACTGAGAACCTGCCTGCCGACGTTCTTTTATCACAATCCGCGCGCGAACGATTCGTTGAAGCGCAACACTACCCCGTAGCGACAGAATCAAAGTGCGTACCGCAGGAACCGCAGAATCGTAATTATTGCGGGTGAAAATCTTGGTGGTCATAATGTGTATTATAACGGTGCTTAACCTCGCGATTTCACACTTTCTTACGTATGTGCCGATGGCAGCCTAGGGTGCCTTGACCTTGGACTAGTTGGCGATTGCGATTTCCCGTAGACGGATAATGATCGGCCTTGGAAAGGATCGGCAATTGCGTCCCGATAGTTGTCGCCGATTATATATATAGATATCCTTAGATTGCCCGTTAAATCGACGGCATTTACGGGTAATTCTCGTCGTCGTGCGCTGCTAGAATGAGAGAGAGAGGGAGATAACAAACAATGAGCCGCTTTAAAATAATTACGCGATTGATTTAAGACGCTCGCTTTTTCTTTGTCCGCTGTATCGGCAATCCAATACACGCACGCTCGTAGAAAAAGAAGAAAGGAGAGTAGTAAATCTCTACGACTGAACGGATAGGTGGGAGGGTTGATTATCGAGTATTTTTCTTTGATAATAAAAAGGGGAGAGGACTTGAAATAATTCGCGAGCAAAAATGAGTTGATCGTAGGTCGTCGACAGCAATGTCGATTAATCAATTCGGCGGGTATTTTTAGTGAAAATTGCGTGTGTCGTCGGGGTGCACACACAATTTTCCGTTTTAGATTAACACGTTACTTTGTTCCGTTGCCATAAAGCGCCCCGAGTCCTTGAGTGAGTTGAGGCGCTGAAGAGAGGATCGTAAATCTATTTTTGCCCTCGGTAAGAGAAGGTAAATGGCAAATCATTTTCTGTTCTCTCTCGCGCGCGGCAACTTCTCTCTTTGTCTTTGCGCGGCTGCTTTTCACGATGCACGCGCGCCAGGACAATGATTATACGAGCGATTCTGTCAAATATTTTGCAACTTTCACTCCGAGAGCCTGCGAGAGAGAGAGAGAGAGAGAGAGAGAGAGAGAGAGAGAGAAACAGAGAGATGTGATAACGACCTCCCGTTACCAACTGATGACACCAAAAGATCAGACAGCGCGCGGCTAAGCTTTATTTATGTGACTATTGCAATCGATATGAGACTGCTATGGACAATTACCGTCATTTTTCAGGGTTATTTATCGTTTGCCAGGTATAAGCCGAGGAAGGGATCGCCATAATCATTATCCTTATTTAAAACGTTTTCGATTGTCGTTTGCGAAATGAGATGACAAAATTGGACTATGGCTGACAGTAAGCTCGGAGATCTAACCAGTGGTCGTGAATCGACTGTAGGATAAGTATTCTCACACGCAGCGGCAGCATCAGTACAAAAAGCGTCGTTCTTTCCTGACGCCGCTAATATAGTTCTACTTGGAAAAGCCTGCGTGGCATCGTAAAAGCCTTTTACGCTTCCTCCTGTTTTCATGAATGAATCGCGCTGCAGCGCTCCACTGCATGAAATATCGCTGCGAGTAGCAGCCGTTCGCCAGCTGATGAATATTTATCCACGCAGGGCGCAGTGTGATTTAAGCTTCGAGCGGTCAGCTCTCTCTCTCTCTCTCTCTCTCTCTCTCTCTCTCTCTCTCTCTCTCTCTCTCTCTCTTTCGATATACATATATTGTACTTGACAGATAAAAGACTTTGCGCGCCGCCGCGCGATGACCCGAGACTAATGATTTCTTCGCTTGTGTCGCGCCCGACGAGAGACGGTTGACTGACCTCTGTCTCCAGTCATTTTTCGCGATTGATTTCACCGCCACCGCCACGCGCTATTACAGCGCGCGAAATATTTTCGTCCGACGATTTGCGTGGCGATGGTCTTTTTCTATTTCGGCGTCTCGTTCACGCTTTACACTAATCCGCGGCGTTTAGGCTATTTTGTTTGACTTGATTCTCGAAATGTGGATCGAGGCTGCCCAACCGAATAAATCTTTTGCGTTCCTAATCGCTGGTGATGAAGGAATCCCGGTAATTTTGCCGATTCAAAATCGCGGCCGACGTTCAGTTTCTCGGCTGGCTGATCAATTACGAGGAGCAGCGGCACTACTATCGGCGGCGACCACATGCGATTACGCTAGTATCTCATTTGCTTAAAATACACTCCGGTTACGTGAAAAAGACTGATAAGCTCGTCGTTTGGCGTTCGGGCGCTGTGCCTGCCGACTTTCCTTTCGCAGTTGTCTACGGAAGCTCTCCCGTTCGTTTCCGCCAGAAAGGCCACTTTACTCTAGTCCTTTCGTCTCATAATCGAACGTCGATTAGGATGGCATAGCAAACTAAAATGTAGGCGAAGGCGCGGGTGTGTCGAATTTCCACGAGTTGAAATGACGCCAGCGATATTCCGAAATAGCCTCGAGCGGCACATCGGAAATACAACAAGAGTGCAGCTTGGGGCGAGCGTGCAAACTTTTAATTCGTGCGCCCAAGCGCCGCCGGACAATTCCGAATCCTTTACCTCGCGCTGACAACGTCTTGTCTCTCTTCTACGTGGACATCGCTCGATTGCGACGTTTACGCAACGTTGATTTTATTGGGCTATCAAAATGCCTATCAATAACGAGATTTCCAAATGTGAAATTTTTTTTTTATTCGTCTTCCGATGGACTTCGCCAAAAATTTGGTCTTTTATCGCTGGACAAACGAAAGGCCTTTTTCTCTGATACGAGGCGAGCTCTGTGTTTATGGAAGTGTGCCAAAAAAATTGTTTTAAACGTCAATGTTTTATTCATGCTGTGAGCCAAATCGCGAGGACCGTGAAACACGTGGCACGAATATCTTGAATTTCTCTCTCCCCCTTGGTTGCTTAGCTATACGCCACTGGATAATTTATCGCGCGGCTTTTTTTTTGCATAAATTATATTCAGAAGAAGTAGAAAAAATGCC